CCGAGGCTTGACTCAAGCTCCACCTCCTCCAGGCAGTTGATGGAAGAGGGCCTAGGGAGCAGAAGCAGGTTCAAAACCGGCCTCAGATACCCACTGGCTGCATGTTGTCTGACTTCTCCGAGTCTTGGTTAACTCATCTATAAAACGAGACAAGAAGGCCTCAAGGGCCATGGTAAGGGGCGAACGCACTAACTTGTTCTAGGGAACAGAGCACACATCCGTGCCACATGAAACCTTGCTAAACCCATGCTCACCCCTTCTGGGCAGACACCAGCCTGCATTCCCATCCACACCAGACTATTCTCCACTCCCTCTTCCCAGCTCCCTGGGAAACAGCGGCTTCTTGTTTCCTGGAGTTCTTATCGGTCAAGGCCGAAGGGCAGCATCCCATTAACTGCTGACACGTGAGCGAATCCACATGAGAAAATGCATCAGAGTTTGGATGTTCTGCGTAAAACCCCGTGTTTGAGATCCTGCAGAGAGTTCTGACTGCCCCTTGAAACACACTGCCAAGTGTAAAACTAGCACCCAGCCTGCAAGTCAGCATCTCGCACACAGAACCAACCCACATCCAAGAAGAATTTGCTCCTATGTATCAGCGTGGAGGATATGAGGGTCCCACTATATGTCAAGCACCTGACCCTCTGGGGGAACTTACATTTCCCCCAGTCCATTGAACTCTCACCATGTCCCTACAAAGCAGGCGGTACGTTTCCACTTCTCAACCAAGGAAACTGACATTCCACCAGGATAAGAAACTAACTCGCAGGTACTTAGCTAGCAAGAGAAAGGGCAGACTTTTGCAACCCGCCTCAGATGCCTACTGACTGAGTGTTGTCTGACTTCTCGGAGTCTTGGTGGACTCATCCATAAAACGAGATGAGAAGGCCTCGCAGCGCCATGGTAAGGAACAAATGAACTAGGGTCAGTCTTGCTCCAAAACTTGGTCTTTTCTCCCAGTTTCAGCCCTTTCGGGAACTGTAGCTCTTCTGATTCCCACAGGCTGCATTGCTACATGCCGTAGAGGAGAGCTTCAGCATCTGTGACAGGAGACGCTGTGCTCGTCCAGTTAAAATGAGAGGTCATCCCACCAAAGCCACAAAGACAACTTGAAAGTCCAAAGCTGTCATCTGCAGAAAAGGAAGTCTGAGTGGAGCAAGAAGACGGGGGCCGTGTATCCGGGGAGAGGTGGGCAAATCACAGCAGAGCCCACTTCCCGGGTGCAGCCACTATACGTGAACGTGTCCCCGAGATATCCCACCTACGGGCCCCACACATGCAGGTAGGAGGCAGGATCAGGAAGCTTTCAAAGGGTGGGATGACCCTTTCTGAACAGGACAGTGCCACCTTTCCCATCCACACGTCCCTCTGCCCACACATGGCCAGCAGCTGCCACTACAGGCGTTTGATTAAAACAAGTCACACTGACTGTCTTTGGCAGAAATGAGGATCCATGCCCCGGTGGCCAGGTTGGTGACTGCCACTCACAGACGCCTACATCTACCTCCCCAGACCCACTGGGGGCAGTTCCTGCTTGGGCCCTTGCAAAGCCGGATCCCAAATTAACTGAGCCCCGTCTGGCTCCTCGCGGGCGGGCAGCGGGAAGGCAGGCGCCTTATAAACAGGGAGAGCGCCAGGCCTCCCGTCTGCCTCCTGCACAGCTGACTTGCAGAGAAGAAAGGCTCTCTTCCCGCTGGGGGAAAAGTCTGTTTAGGCCACTGTCCCTCGAATTCCACACCCGCACGTCTGGAATCCTGTTTCCCTCAGCCATAAAGCAAGCACAGTCTCAAAGGAACAGTGTGAACGTAGGTGGAAAACTCTGGAAAAGCCAAGCCACACGGGAGCTAGAATGGAGGGGAACTTCCACCTCTGATGTGTTTCAAACCGGGTGAGCACAGAGACCTCTCTGTGACCCGCGCGGCTGGACTAATTACCAACGTTATCTGGCGGATGACAGACATGCCCCGAACTTCCTCTGTTTGATAGATCCCACTGCAAACACACCCAAGTTCAGGCCCGTGCCTGCTGTTCTCAGCAGTGCCCTATTCTTCCCTAAGACCACTCCTGATCCCCACTCCTCTGACCCCTGCCCCATGCCTCCAAGGTCAGCCAGGCCAATGTACCCACCAAGCACCAGCCTAGTGACTTGGGGGTGTCCCTTTCCTGGACCACTCCACACAGAACCAGTGAAAACTCATACTTCAGAGTTTTTCTGAGGAAGAGAAAACATCTCTCCCTTCCCTGGATGGATTTTGGAGGAAGAGTCTGAGATGAAAACTGCTGCTTACCTTCGTCGCTGCTGCCACTGGGGAGCTCCAGCTCATGGGTCCCTGGCGGCTGAGCCCTTGACCTGCACACACCAGGGTCCCACACTCCACGCAAGCGCCGATGATCAGCTGCTGTCCGTCATCCACCAACAGGCTGTGGCTTGCTCGCAGGGTGTATAGGAACAGGGGCAGCCGGGCCACCCGCACGGACTTCAGGCCCAGACACCGTTTCTTCTCCTGCTGGCAAAAGAAGCACACGAACGTCTCCACCTGGTACTGTCGGGACCAGGCGCTGACAGCGTGGTGGGTGCTGCGGGCCTCATGCTGCAGCCACTGGGCCAGCAGGTCATGGTAGCAGAGCACACAGGTGGCCACCAGGCCGGTGGAATCCACAGGCCTGGCACGAGGGGCAGGCGGGTACACGGTCAGGAAGGGGAAGAAGGGCTCCTTCTCGCCCAAGCGGCTGGCAGGGTTCACGTTGAGCTGGAACTCCTTCCCGGGGCCCAGCTCAGCCCCACAGATGTAGCAGATGGACACGGGACCGCCCTGGGCTGAGGCGGGCAGCTCGGAGAGGGCAGGGTCGGAGGCGGAGAAGGCCTGGTGATACCTGCCCAGGAAGCCCTGCACGGAGGTGATGAGCTCCTCGTTCTGGCAGGCCCTGTACAGGGCCCAGACATCCTCCAGGACGCTGAAGCACTTGGGGCAGCTGCGGACCTCACAGCGCTTGTTGGGGCCCTGGGCGTTGGGCGGGCAGGGAAGGAGGCTGAGGAAGGGGAAATGCATGGCGCTCCTCGCGTTGCCATTGAGGATCCTGGAGGGGACCGCCCGGGCATCTGGGGTACAGTCCTCCCCACAGAGGTAGCAGGCCTCTCGCAGGGCCCCGGAGGGCAGGCCCTCTTCTCTCGGGAGCCTCCTGCCCTTGGAGGCCATGCCGGGGGCGTGGCTGTCCAGGGGCACCACATAGAGTCGCTGCAGCACCGGCACGTTGGCCAGCTCGAAGCTCTGCCACTGCTGCGTGAGGGAGGAGAAGCAGCTGGCGCACACCAGGGTGCTGCCGCCCTCGCTGATGGGCTGTGCCCCGGGAGGCGGGCTGTGCAGCCACAGGAAGGGGAAGAACGGGGCCTGCGCCAGCTTCTCCTGCTTCTGCACGTGGACCTGGTGGTGCGAGGCCGGGGACAGCGGGGACCCGCAGATGTAGCAGCAAAGGCCCTCTGGTGGTGCCGCCTGGCTGTCCGGGAGAGCCCGGGGGACACGGCCACTGTTCTCCTTCTCTTTGGGGTTGCAGACGCCTGGGAAAGGCTGCTCCTTGTGGTCCTCTTCCCCACTGGTGATATTGATGTCACTGTCCTCGGATGTGCAGAAGCCGCGGAGGGTCTCCCTCAGCGGCCTGCTCTCCAGGGGCTTAGAGGCTCTGCCAGAGGGAGGCCCTTTCATGCCGTCTGCAGAAGCCTCTTGGACAGGAGGGCCTTGCCAAGGATCCTGAATGCCCCTCAGGACGCTGGCCCGGGCCTCGGGAACCCAGTGCCTCCCAACCCCCTTCCGCCGGCGCCTAACCCCGGCCTTAGGCTCCCCATCCGCGTGGGCCTTCGCGGGGAGCCCCTCTTGCTCCGCGCGCCCCTGCGCCGGTGCCTCTGCGCCCTGTCCCGGAGTGGGTCCCGGAGTTGGCCTCCACTCCTGGCCGCGCCCCCCGCGAGGCCCTGGCCCCGGGGCCCCGTCCTGGTGGGGGCTGGCGGCGTCCCGCGCGGGCGGGTCGGGCTCGGAAAGTGGGTCCGTGTCCGACAGCTCCGACAGGTCAGAGTCTCGCGTCTCCTCAGCGGCCCCGCGGAGCCGGGGGCCGCCACCGTCGTCCTCGTCGTCGTCGCCGCCGGCGCTGCCCAGCGCGTAGGCGACGTTCCACTCGCGGGGGGCCCCGGCGCCGCCACGGCGGCCGCCCGCGCCCGCGTCGCACTGGTGGGGCCGCTTAAGCCAGTACATGCGCTTGTCCACCGGCGTGCGGGCGCGCTCGAAGGCGGCCCACTGCTCGCCCAGGAAGCAGCGGCACACGGCGCACACCAGCACGCAGCCGTCGGCCGGGGACAGCTCGCGCGCGCCGGGCGCCGGCTCCTGCTGCTGCAGGAACGGGAAGAAGGGCTGCGCCGGGGTCCCCGCGCCCGCCGCCGGCTGCTTCACCTGCAGCTTCAGCTCCTTGCCGCGCCCGATGCCGCCGCCGCAGATGAAGCAGGAGAGTGGCGCGCCGCCCGCCGCCCGCTCGCCTACGGCTGCCATGAGCCGCTGCTTGCGGGAGACCGGGGCCGGCCGCCCGCTCATGGCCGCGCCGCCCGGCCGGGCCCGCGCGCCCCGGGCCGCCTCAGCGCCCGCCGCGCGCCGCCGCCGCGCGCCCAACTTGGAGCATGTGTGCGCGCCGCAAAGTTTGGCGGCGGGCGGCCGGCGCGGGCGCGGGCGCACGGCCCTCGCAGCGGCGCCCCCCGGGCCTGCGAGCGCCCCGGCGGCAGCGCGCGGCCGAGGCGGCGCCCGCGAGCGCGCCCGGAACGCAGCGGCGGCGGCGCGAGGCCCGAGCGGCTGGAGCGGCAGCCGCATGTGCGAGCTCCGGCGCCTGCCAAGGCGTGGGGTCATTTAATTGGGGAGGAGGGGCGGGGCGCGGCGGGCGGGAGGGGCGGGAGGGGCGGAGGGCGGCGCGCGGCGGGCGGGGGAATCCCTCCCCGCGCGCTTCCTCCCCCCGCCCTCCTCCTCCAAGCCTGCCTCCCTCCCGCCCGCCGCTGCCTCCCCCCGCGTCCCAAACTGCGCACAATAGCGGCCGGCTCCTCTATCTATTTTGTGTCCAGCCGGAGCCGCGCGCGATGATTCATTGCCCCAATTAGGGGCTCTCTCCAGCGCGCCCGGCTCAAGCCGTCTGAAGGGTCTCCTGGGGGACCCGCCGAAACCCATCAGCGGCTGGAGCTGGTCTTTAAGTAAAGGTCAAGCAGGACGCGGGAGGAGCCAGGTAAGGACGCGGCGGTCGCCCCTGGAGCGGAGGAAGCCCCCACCCCAGGGCTGCAGTAAGGGCAGCCCCAGCCTAGATGCAGGCACCCTGCCGGGTTCTTTCGGGGTGGTCCGATCCCCTCAAAAGGGGGGACCAAGCGAGAAAGCCATTTACAGTCCCGAACAGGCCTAAGTTGGGGACACCATTCACGGCCCCGCGTTCTAATTTGGGAGAGAGGAAAGAGGCGCCGTCCCCGTCTCCTGGAACCCGTTAGTGAATGCATCATCCTGCGAATAGTCTGGGGCCTGCTCTGCCCCTTCCCATCACCGACAGGGGTCACTGGGTCACCAGCAGATGTAGAAAGGGTCCTGTGTGTCCCAAGGTCAGTGACTCAACGTCTCTGGGTCCTGATCTCATTCTCTTCAACAGGAGCTGCAGCAGGGGATTGATTGTTTCCGTGTCTTTATTGTACATGTGTAGAGATACATTGTATTTATTTAACAAGCAGAAGGACCTGCGGTGCAACGCGCTTAGGGTTAACTGTGGGGATCTGCCCCATTTCACAGACAGGAAGGAAGTCGCATTGAGTGTTACGTTTTCATCCAAAGGGGCCAAACAGGATTCAGACCCAGGACGTCGGGCTCCAGGCCCTACTCTTGACCACCAGGGCGAGTAGCCGTGCGAGGCAAACGTCTGGTCCACGTCGCAGGTCTGCTGATGGGGACGGTCCATGGCAGGACAAGGCCAGGATCCCTGGGTCCTCCCGGATGATATGGCTCAGGCCCTGGTCCAATCCAGGCATCTCCAGACCTCTCATTTCCCATCTGTGAAATGGCACCGCTTCCAGCTTCAAAATTCTACACGTCTCTGACTTCTGGGCCGTTTACAGCTTCCTCATTTGCAAGCAGCAGCCCAGAGTCAGCCTGGGGACAAAGGTACCCGGTGGTCCCTTCCACCCTCTGGGACACTGAAATGTAAATAAAACTGGGCTTCCTCTTGGCAAGGAAGAGGGCCATGCATTGTAAATAAATGCAAGAAGGAGGCCTCCAGATTCCCTGGGGGATATTCTAGGGCTCGCGGTCCAAGGGTTAACAGGAAATCATCATTGGTTGGGACTTTGGGCCTTCACCCTGGCCCAGAGGAATGCTGTGTCAGCAAAACTGTCCCGAAGGAATGTTGGGGGCGGGGCAGGGGGCTTCTTGGCTCCTGGCATTTTTAATACCTGGAGAGCGGAGGAGGGCTGATTCGGAGAAGTTTAAAGGGCAGTGTCTGTTGAATTGCATCCTTGCACAGTTCAAGAGGGACTATTAGGTCCCACACAGACTGAGAGATTGCTAGTAAGGCACTGCCTGACTGGGGACATGCAGGCCAGCGGGTGAGTTAAATGTGGGTTCCTTAGGACTGGGGCACATGCTGTCCCTTCTGCTTCAAATGCGTTTTGGGCTCATCTGTATGACCATGGCCACAGTGTCATCCTCAGAGGCCTCCCTTTCCTCTCTAGAGCAGGTGCTGTGCCGTGCTTCTCCATCCCAGCTCCCCAGCGCAGGAGTTTGCCATTGATTTTATTGATTTTTCCGTCCACTGCTCCTGTCTGCCCCCAACACCCCCCCGGAACCCTGGGTGCTCCCTCCCAAGGGCAGGAGCCAGGTCTGTCTTGCTCACTGGAGATGTGGGGCCTGGCTCGGTGCCTTGGTCCCACATACCTGGGTCTCAGTCCTGTTCCATCCCTTGCCAGTTGTGTGAGCCTTGGGTGGACTTCTTAGCACACGACCCCTCAGTTTTCTGCTCTGTACAATGGGGGTTGTTAAATAAATAGAGATTTGGGCGCAGGCATGGGCTCTGGCATGCTGTAGGTGACTGTGTACGTGTGTTGCCCCTTCCTCTTTCCAGTGGTTGAAGAGGTTCTCCTGCCGCCTGTCCACACTGCAGGGCGCACTGCAGGGTGGCAGGGAGGGCCACTGTGTTGAGGTCACGCACAGAGTCTGAGGGAGAAGGATCACGGGGCCAACCAGACCAAAAGAGAGAGGTAGGGTTTTCTTGGCGGAGCTGGAATCCTCCAGGAGGTATTCCGAGTATGCACCATACATATGCAGGTGTGAGTGTGTACGTATGTGAATGTGCATGAGTCTGTATTTGTTAGATTGTATATGTGTGTGTACATGTGCGTAGTTATATATGTATGTACAACCTGTGTGTGAGCATGTGTGTGAGTGTGCATGCGTGTGTGCGTTTGTGCATGCGTGAGTTCACCTGTGTGCTTCTGTGTATGTGCCTGTGTGTGCATGTCAAGTGGGCCAGGAGTGGGAGTGGGAGGTGTCCAGCTGGATGTTTTTCTTCTCTTCAATGACCCAGTGACTTAGGAAAGTCCCCTGGAACACATCTTGGGAACCAGGAAGCAGGGTGAACACAGATCAGAGGAGAAGGCCAGTGATGATGGCTGCTCCTCTGCGGGGATGACATGGGGGCAGGGCCGCTGCCACAGCTTGACACAGCAGACTGACATCGCACAGCCATTTACTAGCTGTGTGGCTTTTGGCTTGCTTGTTTACCTCTCTGAGCCTCAGTTTCCCCTTCTGTGAAGCAGAGCCAACTTGACAGTGTGCAGGGAGGGTGAACTGAGCCAGTGCTGGTAAAGTACATTGCATTGGGATGCAGAATAACAGTGGTATAAACACACACAGCATGTGTAGACATTAAACACACAGCACACCCATTCAGTGTGAAGCACACACCAGGACCTATACTCTGCAGGTGCCAACTCGTCAAATCTTTCCCAGAAGCCCATGAGGAAGGTTGTGCTGTACCCACAAGTTTAGGGGTGAGGAGACTGGGGCATAGGGAAGGGAAGTCATAGGCCCAGGGTCACACAGCATGGTGGAATTGGGACTGGCACCCCGGTCACATGCCTCTGAAACCCTCTGCTTTGCTGGCTAGTGAGTGAGATTCACTTTCTCTTCAATCCTGCGATGCCAGGACAGGAACAGCCTAGAATCTGGTCCCCCCTCTCCTCACGTGTCCCCAGTTTCACACCAAAGGAAACAGGCCCTCACACGTGCCTGTCTGGATACAAAACAGGCCAAGTTTGTGCCAGGAGATGAAAAGAAATGCCAGGGTGGATTGGCATGAAATTCATGCACCAAAGTAGACTTGAAGTCCCTGTTTCTAATGGAAATGGGCAAAAGGTTCAAACAGTACTAAGCCATCCAAACATCCCTGCCAAGAGCTGCTGAGGCCACAGCCTGAGCATCCCGAGCAGAGCCATCTCCTGGCTTCCCTCTAAGCCCTACACCCCACCTTGCAGCTGGAGAGAGGGTGCCAGGCTCCCTCCAGACCACACACTGGCTCTTCATCTTTCAATTATAGGACTTGAAAAGCATTGAGAGATGCTCATAGACAGACCCTGCGTTGGGAGCAGGTTAAACATGCCCACCTGGATTCTGCAGGAGACAAGGAGGCCATCAGCGTAGAACACCTGGGCACATCTCAGATTTGCAGCTACCTGTAGGTTCATCTTAGCCCAGAAACCGCAGGAATCTGCCCTCATCCCGCCCGGGAGAGCTCATTTCCAGCCTCCAAATGCTTAACCACACATTGTTTTGCATATCTGTCTCTGTGCCTGCCTCTCCCACTGGGGCAGAGCCTGAGCTGGCTTGCCTTGCCCTGCCCCACAGTTTCACAAGGATGTGGACATGGTAGGGGACCAATCGGTGCTTGAACCAGGGACGCCGCTAGACTCTATCCAAAACCTCACTCATTATGCCTTCCAAGTTCCAGAATCATCCAGCTGCCTGGCCAGTTTCGACTGCGCCATCTTTTATTCCTCTTGAGTGCCAGCAATCAAGATTAAACTCTGTCATGTGCCCCTGGCTTTTCCCAACCCTGCAACCCGACTTCCCTTCTCACTGGGCCTTTTGCCCTTTTCCTCCTTCCTCTAAACTGTGCCTGCGCCTTTGGCATCCTGCCCAGGGCCCATTTACCTTCTTAGGCTGGTCCATCCTCCTCTTTTCAGAGGCGACGTGTGCTGTGTTTGGCCTCTGGCTCACTGGGGACCAGAAAAACAAAATTTATCATCTGACTGCCCTATTTTTTCTTTTTTCTTTCTTTCTTTTTTTTTTTTTTTTTTAATTCTTTTTGCCTAAGAATGAAGCAGGCCCTTCTCTGCTGTCCTCAGAAACAGCTTCAGACATGGCAGGCCACTGGCAAAAATACATCGTCCTTCTCAGAGGGAAAGAATGTAACTGTTAACAACGAAAAATCCCTGGGATTTGTGGAGGCCTTGGGCTTATGAACCAGTTCACCTCCGTGCACTCGTGTGACACAGCAGTACATGGAGGCATCACATCCATTTTAAAGATAGAGAAACCGAGACTCCAAGAAGCAGGGATTTCCCCAAGGGCACCATTCTTGGAATCAGGATAAGTTGCCAGCTTTGGAGCTGATGAAATTTTGTTGCATTTTGTATGCATTTATTGTGCTAATTTGTTAAATATAAACATTAAACACATACAGCATGTTTTATAACCCTGTCTTAGCAGCTTGTTGCCTTTTTATTTTTTATTTTTATTTATTTATTTATTTATTTATTTATTTATTTATTTTTGAGACGGAGTCTCACTGTCACCCAGGCTGGAGTGCAGTGGCACAATCTGGGCTCACCACAATCTCCACCTCCCAGATTCAAGCAATTATCCTGCCTCAGCTTCCCAAGTAGCTGGGACTACAGGGATACACTACCACACCCAGCTAATTTTTGTATTTTTAGTAGAGGCAGGGTTTCACCATGTTGGCCAGGCTGGTCTCGAACTCCTGACCTCAAGTGATCCACCCGCCTTGGCCTCCCAAAGTGCTGGGATTATAGACATGAGCCACCATGCCCAGCCTCGTTGCCTTTTTAAATACAGGCGCTTCTGAGCATGGAAGTGGGTGGACCATTTTCTATCTCAGGGGCCTGAGACAACCTAGGCAGAAACATTCGTAAACTGCAAAGTGCCTTTTTAAACAATCACGGTTTGCATTATACAATTCAGCGTCAGAGCACGGGCTACAGATTCACAGAGCAGAATCGGGTGCTCTAAAACCTCGCCTTGCTCCCCTAAGCCTGAAAAAGAATCCAGCAGAGAACAGCCCAGTCTCTCCCTCCGGGAGACATCGTTCCCCAGCCCAGCCCTCACCGTCTTGAAATCCAAGGATATTGCCGTGAACTTCAGGGCCTCATAAAACCCTTTTGATAAATGATCGCTGGAGCTGACCTGCCCCTGGGGATGATGGGACAAACACTCACATAAATCTGTAGTGGACTCAAAGACTCCCTTGCCGCCGGCTTCTCAACAGGCCCCTGATTTGCAGCACAAAATTCACAGCAGCCATTTATGTGTTTGTCCCCACGCTTCCCAGCCATGGAGGTTTCTTGGTAGGGCACAGGTGGGAGGGGCGGGGGCACAAGCCAAGGGAGACAGAAGCCAGAGCCACCCAGAAGTGCCATGAGGGCACCCGGCATGCAGTCAGCGCTCAATACTAACCAGCGTGCAACCGAGAAGTGCCATGAAGGCACCCGGCATGCAGTTGGTGCTCAGTACTAACCAGCATGCATCCTGCAATGACGGTAGCTGATGTTTAACTAGAAGCCGGGTACCTTGTTCAGAGCTGATAGTCATGTTTATCCCATTTGGCTCTCACAACAGCCTAAAAAGTAGGCATGATTACACACTTTTACAGACAAGGACACTGAGGCTTGGAACAGCGAATCCATGTCTCCAGTGTCAGAGCTGGGAAGTGTTAAAGCTGGACTGAGACCCGGTCTGGCCAGAGCGCCTCGCTCTCATCCGCCCTGCTGTGTACTCAGCTCCTGGCCTGTTGGGCCGCCTTTCCAGATCCTTCCTGCTAGAGGTGTCCTTGTCCCTCAAGGGGTCCTGCCAGGGAGGCTAATGGTCAGGCCTCGCTGCAGGCCTTCGAGTCCTGCGTGTGGCTTCATCAGCGGCTGCCAACTTCAGGACAGGTTCCCCAGCTCTCTGGCACTGGAATACTCAGTGGGCCGCGGCAGGTCCCCCGAGCTGCCTAATGGGAGGGCGGTGAAGTCAACAGCAGCAGATTATTTCCAGCTGCTGCTCTGAGTCACCGAAGCATGTTCCAAACCCAGCCGCCAGCTTGCCTTCCCTGGCCTCTGATTTATGCGGCGGGTGGGTCGTTGCTGGACTCATGGATGGGGACATGAGGTGGGACTGAGGCATGTGTCTGACACTACACTAGGGTGTCATTTTTAAAAAACCTTTTAGTGGGCCTGGAGCAGTGGCTCATTCCTGTAATCCCAGCACTTTGGGAGGCCGAGACGGGCAGATCATGAGGTCAGGAGATCGAGACCATCCTGGCTAACACGGTGAAACCCCGTCTCTACTAAAAACTTCAAAAAATTAGCCGGGCGTGGTGGCAGGCGCCTGTAGTCCCAGCTACTTGGGAGGCTGAGGCAGGAGAATGACGTGAACCCGGGAGGTGAAGCTTGCAGTGAGCTGAGATCGCGCCACTGCACTCCAGCCTGGGAGACGGAGCGAGACTCCGTCTCAAAAAAAAGAAGAAAACCTTTTAGTGAAGTGTTGCCTCTGTACAGAAAAGTGTGCATCTTCATACGTGTACAGCAAGCTGAATTTTCACAAACTGAACATATCTGTGTAACTATCACCAGAAAGAAGACATGTCTAGGCTCCCAGAAGGCCCCCATGTACCTGCTTCCAGACCTTCCCCTATCAGCAACGGTAATTACTTGAGCTGGGACTACAGGCATCTTGACTTCTAACACCAAGAATGTTGTATTTTTAGCAGCTTTATTGAGATATAATTCAAATACCACACAATCCCCCCATTTAAAGTGTACAATTCAATGGCTTTTAGTGTATTTACAGAGTTTTCAACCATCAGCACAATTCATTTTAGAATATTTTCATCACCCCCAAAAGAAACCTCATACCCTTTAGTTCTCACCCTCAACACCTCCAGCCCCCGCCCCGCCACCCAGTCCCTGGCAATCATTAATCTACTTTCTGTCTGTGTGGATTTGCGTGTTCTGGACAGTTCGTATAAATGGGATCGTACAACACGTAGTCTTTTTTTTTTTTTTTTTTGAGATGGAGTCTCACTCTGTTGCCCAGGCTGGAGTGCAATGGCGCAATCTTGGCTCACTGCAAGCTCCGCCTCCTGGGTTCATGCCATTCTCCTGCCTCAGCCTCCCGAGTAGCTGGGACTACAGGCGCCCGCCACCATGCCCGGCTAATTTTTTGTATTTTTAGTAGAGACGGGGTTTCACTGTGTTAGCCAGGATGGTCTCGATCTCCTGACCTCGTGATCCACCCACCTCGGCCTCCCAAAGTGCTGGGATTACAGGCGTGAGCCACCATGCCCGGCCACAACACGTGGTCTTTCGTGACTGGCTTCTTTCAGCGAGCATAATGTTTTCAGACCTTCACGTTGTAGCCCATGTCCGCACAGGCTGCTTTTGTACCTTCGCTAAGTGGAAGTGTATCGTATGTACCCTTCGGCTCTGGCTTTTTGCTCTGTGTTAGACCTGTGAAATTATTCCCCGTTTTTGCCTGAAGCAGTACTTTGTTCTTTTTGATTGCTGTATAGTAGTCTGTGAATGAATATTCCATCATTTGTTCATCCATTCTGCCATTGGTGAGCTTTTGGGGAGTTTGCATTTGGGACTTGCATGATTAGTGTTTTTCTGAACACTCTATTTCATGTCTTTGGTTGAAAACACAAAATGCAGGCTGGGTGTGGTGGCCGCATCTATAATCTCAGCACTTTGGGAGGTTGAGGCGGGAGGATGGCTTGAGCCCAGGAGTTCGAGACCAGCCTGGATGATATAGTAAGACCCCATTTCTGCAGACAAACTTAAAAATTAACTGGTCAGGCCAGGCGTGGTGACTCACACCTGTAATCCCAGCACTTTGGGAGGCCAAGGTGGATGGATCATGAGGTCAGGAGTTCAAGACCAGCCTGGCCAAGATGGTGAAACCCCGTCTCTGCTAAAAATACAAAAATTAACCCAGTGTGGTGGCAGGCACCTGTAATCCCAGCTACTTGGGAGGCTGAGGCAGAGAACTGCTTGAACCCAGGAGGCAGAGGTTGCAGTGAGCCGATATCACAGCCACTGCGTTCCAGCCTGGGCAACAGAGCAAGAGTCCATCTCAAAAAAAAAAAAAAAAAGAAAGAGCTGGTCCTGGTGGCGAATGCCTGTAATCCCAGGTACCGGGTAGACTGAGGCAGGAAGGCTGCTTGATCCCAGGAATTCGAGACTGCAGTGAGTTATGACGATGCCACTGCGTTCCAGCCTGGGTGACAGAGTGAGAACCTGCCTCCAAAGAAACCCCTAAAAGCAAAAATACATAATGCATTTCTGTTGAGTTAATACCTAGGAGTCAAATTGCTAACCATGGGGTCAGTGTATGTTTGACTTTAATGCATACTAAGATGTTTTAAATCACATTCATAGGCCCATGGAATTCCCAAGTCTCCCTGGTTCCCAGACTCAGCCCTTCCTGACTCCTCCCCTCAGCTGCCCACCCCCCAGCCTGACCCCCTGGGCAGCTTCTTACAGGGCACCTCCTGCCTTCCAGAGCAGCTGCAGTAAAGTCTGTACAAGTTGCAGAGGAAACGGTCTTGATGGCCAAGATTCGGGTTGGGTTTTGTGAGCACACATGGTTTTTCTGCCCTGGCTCTGAAACTGTGTTCCTTTCACAGGCCAGAAATACTTAGGCACGGCTCACTCTAAAAGGGGAAATACATTTTTAAATTCCATTCTGCCTGGGTCTTAGAATGATTTAGAACATTCCAGCTGTCTGAAGGACAGTGCTCACCAGGAACAGTGGCTTACAGTCCCCGAGATTGATCGCTTGTGATTTTGGGTCCTGACTCCACCAGTTCTGGGTTCGATGTGCATTTCTCCCGGGGGACTTACGGGTTCAAAAACTGTGTAGTCCAAGCGAACGAGCCGCAGGCCGACACAGTGGCAAGCGCATGCGTCTTCGAGTGAGACTTCATCAATACAGCAATCCCGAGCCCTTAGCTAGCTGAGCTAAATCTGCACACGTCATCCCATTTCAGCCTTTCAGTGCCCGATGAGG